CTTCTTTGAATCATTAAAGGTGTGTTTAATAAGTGGTAAGATGAATAAGGTTAAAAAAAATTACTTCTTTTTTACTTCTTTGGCATAAAAAGTAAACTTCATAGATTTCAATGAGATACACATAAAAATTCAGTTTATTTTTTGATATGATTTTTTATATATCACAATTAAATTATATTTTATAATAATTAATCACAATATTTCCTTTTAAAAATATAACTATCGTCACATTTAATACATAAAAAATACAAATCAGTAAAGGAACTTATGATGAAGGTACACATGAGAGTTTTTCGGCCGTTTAAGTTGACCTTACAAGGTTTGAGAGTCTGGTAAGCAAAAGAAATCAAAGGAAGAAAACGAGTCCTAAGCTAGCTGTTCATTTGAATAAATAATCATCTAATATATAAAATTAAAGTGAATAATTAGAAATGAATAGAAAAAGAATTTAATACGGAGTTTTGACCAATGATTTTTATCGTTGACCATTATGATATTGATGTGATATTTCATATGCTGACTTGACGTTTTACGGTGTTGGTGTGCCAGTCCACGATGTCTGATGGCTGATGACGTGGCTAATATCATGACAGATGGGTTAAATTAATTTTTTTAACAGTTCGAGGGCTAAATTAATTTTTTTTAATTAAGGGCTTATTTGATTTTTAAAAAAAATGAAAATATTTTAAATTTAAAATTATACAAACATATGTTAAGTCCTTTAGTCCTTTGATTTTTATTTTTAGCCCCTCTTAAAATTTGATTCTTTTACTTAAACATTTTGTTTCTATCATTATTGATATTAGTGTCATTATTTTGGAACACATAATAATATGAGAAAATAACTTCAGTGATCAAAAATCCCATATAATATACGATTTTGACCAATTTTTTTTGGATTTGCGAAAATGACCAACAAAATCGCAATGCGATCTCTAATTCGCATTGCGATCTCCACTATCGCAAATTCGCGTTGCATTTCGAGTTGCGATAGTTGAAAATCAGTTTGCGATTTTTCATTTCGCGTTACGATAGTCTACAGTTGTCGTTGCGATTTTCCAAATTCGTTGCGATAGTCTACAGTTGTCGTTGCGATAGTCTACAGTTTTCGTTGCGATTTTCCAAATTCGTTGCGAAAATTCGTTGTGATAGTTAAAAAAAAAAGATTTTGTTTATCAAGAAATTTCTCTAAAAAAAATAGTATCCGCGCGGACGTATCGAAGACACGTACGACCACGACCACGACCCGACCCGACCACGACCACGACCCGAGACGGACGGCGACGACGGCGCGCGAGAGTCCCCCTTGTTCTCTATCACTCAACAAGAAAGTGGGAAAGCCAAGCCTTAAATACCATTCCCAATAGTGTTTCCAATACTATGTGGGATTTGAGCATTACCAACACTTGTTCCCAATACTATGTGGGATTGAGCCTTAAATAGTGATATTATTTTTGAATATTTTGCTCAAAATTACAATAATCGCGATTGATTGTAGATTGACTTTTAATTATGACATATTTAATCATATAATACTAATGCAATTGGTTGCTGATTCAGTTATTTTAAGGTGTATGATTGTTAATTGTTTCCTGAATAATCACATTGTATTGGAAACAAGTGTTGGTAATGCTCAATCCACATAGTATTGGAAACACTATTGGGAATGGTATTTAAGGCTTGGCTTTCCCACTTCCTTGTTGAGTGATAGAGAACAAGGGGGACTCTCGCGCGTCGCCGCCGCCGTCTCGTCTCGGGTCATGGTCGTGGTCGTGGTAATACGTGTCTTCGACACGTCCGCGCGGATACTATCTTTTTAGAGAAAATTCTTAAGAAACAAAATCTTTTTTTTAACTATCACAACTAATTTTCGCAACGAATTTGGAAAATCGCAACGACAACTATAGACTATCGCAACGCGATTTTCAACTATCGCAACGCGAAATGCAACGCGAATTTGCGATAGTGGAGATCGCAATGCGAATTAGAGATCGCATTGCGATTTTGTAATCCAAAAAAGTTGATCAAAATCGTATATTATCTAGGATTTTTGGTCACTGAGGTTATTTTCTCTAATAATATTGAGAAATATGATAGTGTAAATATTTTAGAGTTAGTTGCAAATTTTAATACTTCTAAAGAAATTTTTGGCATTAGTATGTTATGATATTAAAAATGGTATTTATGAATTAATAAATTTGTGATTAAAATAATAAATTTGATTGGAAGAAAATTATTTTAATGCATTATAAATAATTGTTGAGAATTCATTTTAGAATACTAGTATAGAGATTTTACTCTTATTTTTAAATGATGCATTTTTTTCTCGTATATTTGATATTTTTTATTTTTACTCATATTTTTTCTTAATTTTGTAGTACATATTTATTAATTTTAATATTTTTATTTAATAATAATACTGATAATTAATAATATTTTTATATTTAACTAAATATTTGTATGTTTTAAATTTAAAATATTTTTATTTTTTAAATAAAACTTAAATAAACCCTTGAATTTTAAAAAAAATCAATTTAGTCCATTTGTACGTCATCGATCACATCATCAATTACTGTGTACTGTCGTGCCAACACCATAGACCTTCATATCAATGTCATAAAATATCATATTAATATTATAATAGTTAACGACAAAATTATTCGTCAAATAATCACATTAAATTATTTTTCTAAATTCGAGGACACCTTAAGTGAAAAGAATTCAATGATTATATTGATTTTTTTGAAAAACAAAAATACAAGGACCTCATATACCTGCCTGAGACTAAAATTATGCCGAAATCATTGCTGCCAAAAGTCATTATTCCTGAAAATCTAATTATTAATATTTTAAATTTTAAATTAATTAAAATATCATTTAACATTTACATTTTGTTGACATACGCATCAATTTATCATACAAGCATGCTCTTTGTTAAAATGAATTACTATCGATGCATTAATGTTTTCAACTTTTAATAAAATAAAATAGAACTTAAATATTATAGCTTAATTTTTTTATATCGAGTTAAATATTAAGTGGTTTTAGCTGTTAAAGAAAGTAGTATCTTTTTAATATTTTTGTAAATGGTTAATTTTTTTTCTTTAAATAATTAGCTGATGTTGCATGTAACTATATATTTCGTTGGTCCAACAATATTGCAACATGTCTATATGCATGATATAGACTTTAACGAGTAATCATAGTAATTAAACTTCTACGTTATAGCCTTTTATCGGTATATATATTTGAACTAACATTTTCTCTTTTCTGGTAAGCAAAAATAAATCATGAAGTTGATATGAAGATATTATCAATTGTGTCTTAATGGGGATAATAGTTGTTGGATATATGAATTGTAAAATTACACCGTTAGCACTAACCGGAAATATAAACAGTAATTAAAATGAATAAATTCGTAAATCGTGTCGTGGTATAACCACTGCCTTAGAAACGAATTCGTCCCGATGTGTGTAATCGCTGCAGTAGGCGGACCGACCCCCGAGGTTAACACGGTCGCTCCGAATCCCGTACACTTGAAATCAGAGTGGACTGCCGGTGATATTGCTCTTCTTATCGGAAAGCACACAGAGAATATTTAGAAAACACTTGGAGAGTGAATTCTGAATGTTGAGAGTGAGTTGAGAAGCTAATATAGCCATCTATTTATAGGCTAGAAATAGGGTTAAAATCGTCCATAAAATTTCATTATTAAATCTCTTCTTTTGTAATAGCTGAAACGTCTAGATGAACCTGACTCAAAAATAGTCCAGGTTCATTGCATTATTATTCAGCTGTTATAACTCCCGAATTATATCATGTAACTCATGGAATTAAATCAAATAACTCCTCTGTACACGTATTACCACGACCACGACCACGAGACGGACGGCTGCGGCGGCGATGTGCGAGAGTCCCCCTTGTTCTATTTCACTCAACAAGGAAGTGGGAAATCCAAACCATAAATACTCATTCCCAATAGTATTTCTAATACTATGTGGGATTGAGCATTACCAACAATAGTCATCCACCTCTTGCATTATATGCTTTCCACTTTTCTTTCCTTTTTTTAAGTTTGTTAATTTGATTCCTAAATCTTTTTGGTTGATGTTTGAACTTAAATTTCTTTTTATTATTCTTATGATATGATATTATCATATTATAAGATTGTGCAATATTAGGGAAAGAAGTTAAAATAAAAAATGGTTAAATCAGAAAATATGTAAACAAATACTTAAGGATTAAATTAAAAAAATCTTAAAATTTAAAGGTTAAATATTACTTCAACATTAAAAAATTGAAATGGTTATTTCTTAAAGATAGTAGGAGAAGAATGGAAGATGAGTGTAATTGAGTCGTCAAGGGAGAAAAGGAAAGGCATGAAAGCAAAGTGAGAAATATTGTATTGTTATACATTTGTCTCCAATGGTAGGGAGGAAAAGTGGTTGATTCTCTTATTTATATGATAACAAACCTCATCATGCCATTCTCCTAATTTTTCCAAGTGATTGCATCCCAACCCCACAAGACATCATTTTCATTCAAACATTCCCGTTCGAATTTTATAAATAAACATAGATAATACGCAAATTATTATATAAAAAATAAAAAAATCAATCATCTTTTTATTAAACGAAATAAAAAACAGATTTTTGAATCGTGATTAAAATTTTAGTATTATGAATAAAACAAAGAGATTTATCTTTTTGATGAGTCTTTACAATATTTGATCTAAATTATTTGATTAATAAGTTAGATGTCAATAAATTTTTAAATAATGTCTAACGTTTGAATTTTGTTATTCTAAATCGAATAAATTAAAATAATTGTAAATTAATCCATCAATACATTAAAGAAAAGAAAATTGTAAGAGAAAAATAATAGAACTTAGTGTTAGGTAACATTGAGTTTGGTTACCCTACCATTCCTAACTTTCTTACTTTCTCTCTCCTTTATATGAGCAGTGATGGACAAACAACTTCTCCTCCACAACTCGTCCCTTTCTCTTCAACAGCAAAAATGAATCGAACCCACATTGGTATGGGTTTAGTGTCCAAACCCCTCTTCTTGTTCCGCTTGTCTCTGTGTTTGTTCTTTTTACATCACTCACCAACAAAAGCTGAGGATTTCAATGCCAAAAACAGAACCAGAAGCTTAGCTTCGAACTGCAATTGGTTCAGAGGGAAATGGGTTTACGACCCTTCGTATCCACTCTACGACCCTTTCAAATGCCCCTTTATCGACCCCGAGTTCAATTGCCAAAAATATGGCCGACCCGACGGCAATTACCTCAAGTACCGATGGCAGCCATTCTCCTGCAGTCTCCCCAGGTCAGATCATCAACATTCATCATGCGCATGATTATTAATATGGGAGTTTTTTCAAAGTTTTTTTTTTTTTGAGTTTGTAGGTTCAATGGGGTGTATTTTTTGAGGAAATGGAGGGGGAAGAAGATCATGTTCGTGGGTGACTCACTGAGTTTGAATCAGTTCCAGTCTTTGATATGTATGATTCAAGCCTGGGTTCCGACTTCCCATATTTCCTACATCAAACGAGATGGTCTTACTTCGGTTACCTTTCTGGTGAGTTTGATTATTAATTATGTTTGGTTATAACGATTGCTTTGTATCTGGACTGGGGACACTGCATTCATCTCCTCTTCTTTTGACAAGGAAAAGCTTCCTTTTGCCTAATTGGATTCTGTTGCAGTAAATCCTTTTTTCGGCGCATTGCTGGAAAACAAGAGTAAATTTTTAGCTTCTTTTTCTAACTTTTTTTTAAATGATACAGTAGATTAATTGACTTTTCATTAATAAAAGAATCAACTACCAAAGAAATTTAGATTAATTGTTAAATATTTTAATATCACTTAAATAATACAACAACAACAAAATTCTATTATCATATGTAATAAGGTAAGAGGATGTAGGGTATTAGGCTGTACCCCAACACCAGATTGAGAGTAATTTTCGTGGAAGACCTCCGGCAGTCAAAAAATTAAAAATAAAGATAAAATACAATACATGTTTAAATAAATAAATAAAATATGTAGTTGAACAATCTTCATATGCAGTCTTCATATACACGTCTGTAATGGGAAGTAATCTCTGTAAATACATTCTTACGTAAAAATATCTGCATATAATTCTTTATATAATTCTGGGTGTCGGAGGTTTACCACGGAAACTGTTTTGTATATAATAAATTTTTGTTAAAATATTCTATTGTCAAAATTAGATGTACTATTCTGATTAGTCTAAGGGAGTTGTGTTTTGCTGAAAAGTGGACAGACGTAATTTTGCATTAAAATAGGGCCGTGATTGGTGGATAATATCACATGCCACACTGTTAATTTTATGTGCTTCTCAGGTACTTATGCTACACATACTTCAAATTAGAGTAAATTACTTATTATTTAGATTTTGTTTTAGTTATTAAATTAATTTTGTCTAGATTATATTTTATTAAAAAATTAACGATGATATTAATATATTATAAGATAATACATGTTAATATTAAAAAATAATTTAAAAATATCACATTAATATCATCGTTGATTTTTTAATTACAGATTGATCAAAATATAATATTATACATAATTTTGATAAAAATAATAATTAAATATTAAATAATACGTATATAACTGAATAAATAATTTATCCATTTAATTATTGTAATATTTGATCTTGGTTGTGAATTGGGTTAAATTCTACATATTATAATAATTGATGCAGTCGTATGATGTGAAGATATTGCTGTATAGAACGCCGTACCTTGTTGACGTAGTGCGCAATAGATTTGGAAGAGTGTTAAAGCTGGACTCAATCAGGGGCGGTGATGCATGGAAAGGGATGGACATGCTGATCTTCAACACCTGGCACTGGTGGACTCACACCGGAAGATCCCAACCGTAAGATCCATATCATTCCCTCTTCTTTTCTTCTCTTTTTCCCGCGCCCATTGGTCCCACATTTTTCAAACAACAAACTCCACTTGTCGATTTTCTTACAACAGAACAGTTCTAGTTCGGTTCTAATATGTTAAAACATCACAATTCTTAAAGAAATGTTGACGTTGAAATGACACATGTGCTTTGTCTTCTATCGGGGAAATGTAAACACTGACCATTTTGGTCTCTCTTGAGTCTTGAACAATGAAAGTGAAATCATACATGAATTTTAAAGCGTGGGGCATTTATGAATCATGCCGACACAAGATTTTATGTTAAATAAAAAATTTATAAGATTTTAAGAGTGAAAATAAATTATTAATATAAAAATAAAAATATTAAGATATATAGGAGTTTTAAATTTGTATAGAAATGAACTTGTTTTCATTGAAATGATTACTTGTTCCATGAAAAAATAATTACTTAAGGAAGTTAAAAATATATTTAATACTAAACGTTGGATTTTGTGAAGATTTGATTACATGGAAGAGGGTGGGAAAACGTGGAAAGATATGAACCGTATGATTGCATACTACAAAGGATTAACAACGTGGGGCAGATGGGTTAACCGCAATGTTGATCCTTCCAAAACCAAGGTCTTTTTCCAAGGCATTTCCCCGACCCATTATGAGTAAGCAACCAAAAACCCTTTCTACTATATATATTTTCCTTTTCCTTGCAAATTTTATGTTGATTGTACTTATGGAATTGCAGGGGAAAGGAGTGGAACCAACCAACACAGTCATGCACTAGACAGACGCAGCCATTCTTCGGAACCAGATATCCAGCAGGCACACCCATGGCTTGGGTTGTTGTGAATAAGGTTCTTAGTAGGATTAAGAAACCGGTGTATTTGCTTGACGTCACCGGACTCTCTCAATACAGGAAAGACGCGCATCCGTCCGCATACAGTGGCCTACACAGCGGCACCGACTGTAGCCATTGGTGCCTTCCGGGTTTGCCGGATACTTGGAACCAAATATTATATGCAGCTCTTTTTGGTTAAACATGCAATGGAGGCTTCTTCGGGCAGCGGGATTTTGGATGGAAAATCATTTGTTTTCTACGATAATAGTGAGGCAATAAGAGGGAATTAATTATATCACAATTAAACTGTAAAATTTTAATTTGTTTGTTTCCCCGGGTAAAGTTGAACAAATTTGAGTTGCTCATTTTTAGCCCATGGTGTTTAATTTTCATATTCTTCTTTAGTTAATTACATTTGTGCGTCATTTATCATAATAAATTTTAGTTTGATTTCTGTCATCAGTTTTACCTAAAATTCGTGCATGGATTGAAGCATTATAAAATTCTCTAGTATTGTATGACTATTACTTTTTATCGATAAAATAATTTTTAATAAAATATATTTATCAATTTATAACAAAATTTTGGAATTGGTTCAATGATAGAGTCACCAATTCCCACGTGTCCCAAGTTTGATCCCTTTAATATCAACTTTGATTTTATATTTTTTTAATAAAATGTTTAAACATATAATTATATAATTTGAAGATTAAATTAATAAAATATATATAGATTACGAAGATTAAATATATAATTATACAAATCTTTTACCATTGCATTAATGATTATCTTAATTATTAACAGCTTATAGTCTGATTGATATTCTAAGAGAAAATCGTCTCAGTGACCAAAAATGCCTTATAATATACGATTTTAACCAACTTTTTCCGGATTTGCCAAAATGACCAACAAAATCGCAATGCGATCGCTAATTCGCAACGCGATCTCTATTATCGCAAATTCGCGTTGCATTTCGCGTTGCGATAGTTGGAAATCGCGTTGCGATGGTCTACAGTGTCGTTGCAATTTTCCCAATTCGCAATGCGAATAAGTAAATCGCAACGCGAATTGGGAAAATCGCAATGCGATACTTACTATCGCAATGCGATAATACAAAATCGCAACGAGATACTGACTTTCGCAACGCGATTTTGACTTTCGCAACCCGATTTACATAGCGCCATTCGTATTAACGCGTATTTTTTTTTCAAATTCCAAACACGAATTTTTTCTTAATAAATCGGAAACTGAACCGTCCACAGTAATCGCAACTCATAACCTCAAACCCAAAATCACAATACTCAGTCCCATCTCCATCTCTCACTCTCTACGGCGAAATCCGTCCCCATCTCCGAAGATTTCCGTCCCCATCGCCGGCGAAATCCCTCACAACCATTCACAGTCAAAAATCCCTCACAATCATTCAGAAATGGAAAATCAACCTCCGAGGGTTAGTTTTTTTATTTTTATTTTGAAATTTTTGCATTATTTTAGGTTTTTCATATTGAGATTAATGATAAGTTTACTGGTAATTTCAATAATAGATTAACCATTTCACTTAGATTTCTTATTAAATTCATTCGATTGCTGCCAATACTGCTAAACTGTTTAGCCTGTGAAGTTAGTATTTGTCTTTGTTTGTCTTTTGGTTGAAGTAATGCAGAAGAAGAATAGTTTCGAGAATGAAAATCGCAACGCGGAAATAACTATCGCAACGCGAAATAAAAATCGCACGCGAAACCAAAATCGCATTGCGATTTTCATTTCGCGTTGCGATTTTCATTTCGCGTTGCGATTCTCTCGTCGCGATAGTCATTTGCGCGTTGCGATAGTCATTTTCGCGTTGCGATTCTCATTATCTCGTTGCGATTTTCATTTCAACCAAAAGACAAAACAGTGTTGCAAATTTTAGTTTCAAGAATAAACTACTATTTATGTTTATTGTTTTTGGTATATCTTGACAGTGTAGTTTTTGGTATATCTAACTTGGTATGTTTATTGTTTTTGTAGAAATTTTTTTCGGCTTCATTGACATTAAGGAATAAAGTTAGCCTAGCCACTACAATTGCTTCGAAGCTTTCACCTGCACAAAGAAAATTGTTTGAAGAAACCTGCTTCGGGCCATGGCTGAGAGTACAACATCCGGGTGGAGATGCTAATTTGACCCATTTGTGGCTTCAGACCATGACTAGCGATCTACCCGACAGTATACAACGTGGTGAGGAAGAGATATGGTTTCATTTTCCACCGGCGTATACTTGTTTTGGGCGGAAGGAGTTCTGCTTAATCACTGGTCTACGATTCGGACACGATGATGTAGGCCGGTACACTCGTCATATCACCCGCCCATCATGGTTATCCAGGGTTTTTCCTGATGAGTCAATAGAGAAGCCGAACTTACACGTCGACGACATGAAGAAATTGTTTAATAAGAAAGATGGTTTTACTCGGATGAATGACGTCGATGTTGTCCGAGTATGCCTTCTACTACTTTTGTATGCCGACTTTTTAGGCAGAGAGGCCAGACAACCTATTCCTCAGGAGCTAATATTATTGGTAGAGGACCTAAATGCATGGAATCTGTTTCCGTGGGGTTCGTATATATGGAAAGCTACCTGGACTAAGTTGTCTTCTGTCTTTGATGACCGCAAAAGTTTGCGGGGCGATGGGTCGAAATACACTTTGTCAGGCTTTGTTTGGGCCTTTAAGGTAATAATTTCTATATAATGTTTTCAAAATTATAATTAATTATTTAACAATTACTAATGTTTGTTATTATATTGTTTGTAGATTTGGATATTCGAGGCCTTTCCCGCCATGAAGACATATGCAATAAAAACTTCAAATGATATTCCCAGGGCTATTTCCTGGAAGAGGAAACGTTTGTTGGATTGGGAAGACTTAATACCATATGCGACAATAAATAATGTAAGTTAACACAAATACTATCATATATAAACAAGTTATTAATAGTAGACGTTTAACTTTGTTTGAGTTTTTATATTTTTAAGAGGCCAACATTTCATTAATTAGACTGATACCCACAGAGGCTGAGCTTGCCACTGATTGGTGGCAAGCTAGTTAGCGTTTTCTTGATGGCACGAATGATGAGCAGCCTCCACTTCCTCCACTTCGAGAGCCATCACCTCACCCAGAGCCATCACCTGATCGACCCGACTATACACCTCTACAACGAGAGCCATCACCTATCCCGTCACATCATCGAGCCTCTTCTCCACCATCACCTCATGATAGGCGACCGGCAAAGATGCCACGACTTCTATCTCCCTGTTCTCCACCTCCACGGGATGAGTCAAGGGAGTTACGTGATGAGGTCAATGCCTTGCGTGAGGAGATCGATACTCTACTCGATAACGATGGTGCATGGCGTGTGGAGGTGTCTACTTTACGTGGTGAGGTTGCCGCTCTACGTGAGATGGTAGTATCGTTGCAGAATGAGGTTCATACTCTACGCAACGAGGTAAGTTTAAGATTTTCCATATTTAACTTGATGATAAATTTACTCGTAATTTCACTTAAATTAACCATTTCACTTAGATTGCTTAGTAAATTTATTCGGTTGCTGCCAATACTGCTAAACTGTTTATTAACACTGTGAAGTTAGTATTTGTCTTTTTTTTGTCTTTTGTTGAAGTAAATTTATTCGGTTGCTGCCAATTCTGCTAAACTGTGTATTCTTTAACACTGTGAAGTTAGTATTTGTCTTTGTTTTGTCTTTTGGTTGAAAGTTTGAAATATATTTGTCTTTGTTTTCACTGTTTAAATATCATGTCTGTTTATTTACTGATATTTGTATTTAATTATTTAGCGGACCGATAAGGTGGATGCTTTACGTCGAGTTTTTCTTGCACGACAGAGTTCACGCATCAGACGGCGTGCACGTGCTATTAAGTCTCCGTATACCCCAATAGTGCGAAGACACCGCAAGAAGAAGCCCGACTCGCCTGTCATCCCTCAAGAGTCCACTCCTATCGTTGAAGAGGCCCCTATCATTCCTCGAGAGTCCCCTCACACCGTTCAAGAGGCCACTGTCATCGTTGAAGAGGTCCCTCCCACCATTCAAGAGCCCGATTCACATGGCGTCATATGTAGGATTCTTGAGAAACCCTCTGACGTGCTGGACATGATGGATTCAAGTTGGCTCTCGTATGAGTTACCGGCCAGTACCATACCGGTATCTGAAGTGGAGAGGAAACAACTACTGGACACAATTTTGGATAACACCCTTTGGGCTAAGACCACAGTTGATTTTTATCTACATGAGCGAAGCCATGGGTGTTTCACTGACATATGCAAGCTCAATGATGATATCTATTTGTTGCTTGATCGGTCTTGATGGGGCGTATTATTAGGGGTCAAAGACAATGGCTATTTCGATGGAGGGGTAAGTCTTATATTTTTCTTATATTTTAATTTGATTATTTTTTTGTAAATTTATGTAAGTTACTAATATATGTCTTTTTTTTGTAAAATAACATATCGATGCGTGGGTGTCACGTCTTCTAATAATTAGGAAACTTAAGGAAAATAAAAGAAATACACGATATACAATTATGCCGACGTCTTTTAACACCGTTCACTTGAAGAATCAACGAGATGAATCATTTGCGTTGGGCAATGGACAAGCTAAACTTTATCCTGTATGGTGGGAGGTCGATAAGGTTAGTGTTTATTTTAGATTGAGTTTAAAGGTATTCATAAATAAGTGCGCAAATGAATGAATTATTACTTATGATTGCAGGTGTTTATCCCTGTTTTGGAACGTAACCATTGGCTTCTCGTCGAGCTTCAGATCCCATCCCTTAAGGCAATAGTATATGACAGCATGATAAATTACATATCATTGGCTGATTTAAGAGATATTATTAAGGGATGGAGCTCTTATTTGGCTAAATTCTTGGATGCGATAAATTATTGGACTCGTTCTGGAAACAAGAAGCCAAAGAAGCTCAATATTACAGTTAGTAGAGACGAGACCGCACCAACAAACGAAAGGACCCAGAGGGGATTGTGGTCCTCTCGTATGCTTGGCGTTGGACCGTTTGATCACAGGAAGTATAAAGTATCTACCTCCCACCGATATAGATAGAGCCGCAGTAGGCTTGTGGTTTCGACATTATATGGCTAGATCGATATATACGAGACGCTGCCTACCTGCATCCGCGTTATAAAAATGTCCATAAACAATTGGTAAGTTTATA